GCCATCAGTCAATTGCAAAAGGCAGCTTCACCTGGAACAGCTTATACCCTGCGATGATACCTTTAACACCATCAAACAACTACATCTGCCTATCCCAGGTCCTTGGGAAGGACTTGATAGGTGGATAAAAATGCCAAATCCAGTCTAAATATCTGGCTGTGCAGCCAACAATAATAGAATAAATATTATCTTCATGGCTGTGTTTAATGGTGGGAATGCTTGAATGTAAATGCTTTGTAAAAGGAAAACTCTAGCTATGTTCTTCAGTAAATACAACTTAAATACATTTGGGGGACATTGAACACAACATGCATATTCAATTACTATCTTGCAGACTGTTTTTCCTAGATATTGTGCTATATCATGATGCTAGCAGTTCCATCTGTCATCATATCCATAATGCTCAGCCTGCAGGAAGATAAGCTCACTGCTTCTTAAAGAATTGTAAAAACTTGTCAGGAGCTTGCTGTTAACAGGCCACAACAAGGAATTATTTGGGAAGTGCCAGTCAAGAGTCAGTGTCAAGTTTTGTGGAAGTCAGTCTGTGTTATGCTGTTGTTAGAGTGAATTGCTAGAGATGAACAGGTGAGATGAAAACACAATCACAGTTTGACATTGAGGCACATGTTTCTTTCCCATTCAGAAGGATCTCTGGATTCCTGCCGCTTCCCCACTCTGCCCTCAATGTTGTGCTTGTTTTCTTTGGCTGGTAATGGGTGGGTGGAGCTGGCTTGACATGGACGATTGACACTTTCCTTCAGATGAGAAGTCAAAGATAGAAAATTTCACTTACAAAATCAAATCACAGTCTTGCAATTTCTGGCTCAGTTGACTAGTTTACTTAATGATTCATTATTTCCCCTCTGCATCAACAGGTGGTTTCACTATTTTGTAATCTGCAAAAATTTAAAAAAAAATAATAGAGAAGTCCCACATTTGCAGGATAGTAAGGAGAGAAATGCTTCAAACATCTTGGTTTGCTAAATGTGCTCTTGACCACTTCTAATTGGGATTTTGCCTGCATTTGCTCAGATGGGAAGCATTTGGATGACAGCTGTCAGAACAATAAATAACAACTGTTGAGAAAAGAACTTAAGCGTCTGTTGTTTTAGTAGCAGCTCCTTAATTTGACTTCTCGCTTCCTATAGATTCTACCCATTTCTTCTGATTTCTTGCTGATAGGTTTCTGTGCAACTAGTTGTACTTTCAAGGGTCTCAGAGAGAAACACTTGAGAAAAGACTGTTGGCTGTCAATTCTAGCACCTCAGCAACTACAGGGGTTTTTCCTGACTGAAGCACTTGAGTAGAACTCATTTGTTCAAACCAATGCCTTGAGGCAATTCTGGCTGCCCCACAGGTATGAACAAGGAGAAGGAGCAGATGAGCCCAGAAAAAAGGATTCATTCCCTTTTCACTCCTGTCCTTAGAATTTCTGTAGATGACTGTGTTAGAGGAAAGCAAACTGAAGTACATGGAGAAAAAATGTCTCTTAGTTACGTCACTTTGATTAGTTTACTTCTGTGCATGGCTCCTGTACGGGATTGTAAAAACACATTATTTTAATGGGTGAGTAGAGCCTACAATCATACCTTTGTCCACTTTGAGGTTCATTATGCAAAATATCCCACCATTCATCTACTGCCTTTTCTCATTTCCATAGCTCCTCTTGGCCCTGATTGTCCAGAGGTAGCCCTGTAAGATGGCTTTTAGTTTTAAAGATGAGCAGATTCTCAACTCTGTTAAACACTCTTCTACTAGATGTTCTGGTTCTCCTTTTTGCCAGACAAAATATTGTTTCAGCCAATAAGGCAAAGCATTGCAGGACTCCTAGCTGTTGTTCATTCCTTTCCCATCTCCCCAAATATAAATAAATAGCTGGTTGCCCTCTTCCATCTCGTTCCTGTTTCCAGTGAGCAAGGCAAAATCCTAGATCATAGAAATGGAATTTGGAGCAAGGACAGTGCATTTTGTTAGTATGCAAAATTGCAAATATTCCCTTGCCTCACCCCCACCATCCATGCAGTAAGAATCACCTTTAGAGTCAGGCAATTCATTTTGAGCTCTTGGGGTCAATTCATTTTTCCAGCTGAGCCATCAGAGTTATTTTTAGGGTAGTTTAAATTGTTTTTGGTTTGTCAGCTTTGGCCAAGGCTGTTGCAAAAATAAACTGGGTTTACAATTAAAAAAGAAAAAACAAATACCTGACTGTATTCAATGAACAGGCTAAATAAAACCAGAGAGTTTAACTAAACCTGCAATTCTATCCATAGCCCCCCTTTACTTCATTAGACATATTGCAAGTTACCCCCCTTCTTGTCTTCTCCTTGAGTGGGGACTCAAAGAGGTAAGAAATAGGTATTTTTTCAGGCCTGACCCTGAAAAAAAAAACTTCTTTTGAACAAAGACCCAGATTTTGTTAATGATGTTTCAAGATTTCTGTGAATTATTGTTCAAGTCTGCATGATTCAAAGTCAAAGGTTTTCACATTGGCATAATAATTGCTGTTGCAAATGGAACTTTGTTTTGTTGAAGCAGAACCAGGACTGAATGTAAAGTAAGTAGCAGTTTAAGCAATTGGATGGCTTTGAAGGAAGTGGATGGAAAATGAAGGCAGATCTATAATGGAAGCATATCATTCTCATACCTACAGCTGATGAGTTTTGCAGTTTGGGGGTTTGGAAAGAGCCAACATTCTCCCCCATGGCTGATTATGTTTTTTTTTGGCATCATATGAGTCTTTAGATATCCCAGGAAGGAGGAATAAAATTAGATCTGTAGTCATTGGTTGCAGAGGGGGGCGGGGGGGCTGGTTCCAGACCAGTAATCCTCCTTTTCTTGATTGTTGTCCTCATAAATTAGGACAGCTGACCATTGTTTCCATTGCAATTGGCACAAGGGTGTGGTTTCTATTGATTTGTGATGGTAATACTGCTAAAACAATATCTGGCTCTCAACAGAGGCTTTCATCTTAATAACAGAGATTCAAATCTTAGCACAAATGCTTGAAGAATCATTTTGAATTGGTTAAGTGATTTAAATGTTGTGTATTTGATGGTATCAGTCTGCCCTTGGAATCCAATGGACCTTCTGAAAATCCAAGTTGGAAATAAATATATGGTTGATTACTAAAAGACACCAGTTTAATATAAAATTGATCTTACTGTGATCCCTTCAAAATATTGATTTACAAACTCTGGCAACTTTGAATGTTAACTTCATGTTTTTAGCATCAAATATGGCTGGCTATTAGTAGCCCTGAAAGAGAAATCAGAAGCATTAACTTAAAATACTTAGATGAAATATTGATCTTCTGGTAAACAATTAAAGGGATCCAATGCCTTAGAATAATTTCTTTTTCAAAACAAGATTGAATATATAAAATCACTTCCAGAAGATTGCATGTTGAGAACATTAAGTCTTATGTAAAGATGAAGTAGATTTGACATACCACAGTTTCTCAAATCTGGTAATCATTATTTGCAAATCATGACTATTTAATGGTCAAAAAAGGGTCAAATCCCTCCCCAGATGATATCTCACTCTAAGTCTTTTCTATCATAGATTTACAGATAAAAGTGAGTTTTCCTTAGATTCTATTTGAACTCTCAAATACTAAATAAATTTTAAATACATTAAATAGTGAAAAAGCTATGTGATCCTATGCAGAGTTTCTTGGGACTAAGATTAAGACTAGGATTGACTTCTGAGTAGGTAGTATAGAGGGTTGTGCTATAAGTATAACTATCATACTGTTTTCTAGCCCTGTTTCCTAGCGCTATAAACAGTATAACTATCATACTGTTTCCTAGCTCTGTTAGGGCTGAAACTATTATTTTTGTGCACAGTGTCCAGATGGGACAAATAGTGCTGATAGCTGGCAAAGCAAAGCAAATATGGTAGAATTGTTTTAAAGTTGATTGAATGTTGGGACATGGTTTTGTGATTTTTTTGAAAGAGAAAAGAAGCTGCTAGGTAATCTTTCCCCCTTTTAACAGGTCACTTGAGCCTTGCTTCCTGAAACTGCTGTGGGTAAACCATCTGTTTTCCATCACTTTAACCTGTTTCATTTCTTGGTGGTGTTCTTTGTTTCTTTCTCAGGTGAGAACTGACTCAATATGAGTGGCCTTGGGAACAACTCTACGGATCCGGGAAACCCGGATTCTCAGAAGAGGAAGGGGTCACCATGCGACACTCTGGTCCAGAGGTGAGTACAATTTTATGGGATTATTCTTCCAGGGTGGAAGAGTTTTTCTGCTTTCTGGCACTCTTTTTTTGCACAAGCAGATGGGAGCAGATTTCATCCCCTCAGATAAGTTCACACATCCCACCAGTGTTTGGCTGTTTGTTTGTGAGTAGCTACTGTGGAAGATGGAACACAACTTTCCATCTGTTCATATTCTCTCTTGGGGAGCAACTGGTGATTTGTTACTTAAGCTGTTTTTACTTATTGATTGATTTGGGGTTGTAGCACACTTCACGCTTTATGGTCATTAATATTTCTCTTGTTTAAGAATCCGAAGTCCAGATAAATTCAAAATGAAAATAGATTGCATCTTCAAATTGTATGGATATCTGAAAGCTTCTAAGAGGGCATTGGCCATCTTCCTAAGTATTGTAATTTTTTAAAAAAGGACTAGGAGGTGACGATTATCCTTCTGTCAAAAATTGATAAAAGAAATATCTTCTCAGGCTTTAGCTAGAACACTGATGCTTCATGAGTTCATTTGTTGGAGAAGTCAACTAAAAATCCCCTTGTTAACTGAATATCAATTTTTCTTTTAAAATGTAGTTTGAGTATTTAAAAAACTCACAGGAAATTGGTACCAGATCAGATCAGATGTACTGGATCTTTTGAAAGTCTCCCTATTTGAACTTCTTAGCATGGTGTAGAGTTCCAGTAATGGCTCTGTTTGCAGTTTAACTTTAAAGCCTGATAATTCGGCTTTGTTTTGCCTGTTTTTTCAGCATTTTTCTCAAGAATGGTACAAGATATTGCATTCTTCCTCCATGCCATCCCCACCTTGCACTATTAATATTTCCAGAATATTTCACTCTTCATTACAGTTCTCTGATGAAAAAGTTGTTCGTCTGAATGAGGAATTGTGGGGAATGTAGGTTTTTTGGGGAGCAACTGTGGTAGCAGGCAACTGAAAATAGCAACTATTTTAAAGATGTTGTGGCAAAGTAGCACTTGTTCCGAGGAAGTGTTCCATAGAGTATGGCATTTATTTTTTTATTATATTTATATCCTTCTATTTCTTCAGGAGTACACATCATCATACATTGATATCTCCTTTCATTTTATCCCCATGACAACAACTCCATGATATTGATTGGGCTGAGAGAGGGAGAGTAGTGCAAAATCACTCAGTGAGTTTCATGGCTGATGTTGGAATATGTTACACTGGTCCAGAAATCCTGAAAAAAATCCATGCTGCTGGTGCTAATAGCAAATGGGGTACATTTACCCCTTTCATATAGATATTCAGACCATAGCTTATGAGAGGGCTACCCTTGCTAGTTTTTTCCATTTCTTTGTACATGACTAGAGTTTTTGTTTTGTTTTTTTGAGCTGTGTAAAGGCTACGGAAAAGGAGCTTACAGAATTCCATACAACTGTATTTACATGCCTCCTTTCTCTTCTGTTTGGTCATCCATCTGCTTCCATAGTTCAGAAACCTCTGGCGATGGGAACCCACTTCAGAGATCAAGCAAGTCATAGGCCCATTTGCTTACTTACGTAATTTATATTCCATACCTTCAACATAAATTTTACATTGCAAAAGTAGCAAACCTAGAAGAAAGAGTTATTGTTAATATGCTAAACAAACACACACTGCAGTATTCCACTTAGATTAATAATAAAATCAATATTGCTGTCAAATGTAGATGCTAATACTGGTTGTATTTAAAAGTCTGGCAGAACAGAAATTATTTCTACCCCTTGCCAAAATTGTTGGAATGAAGGTTGCAAGTGGACCTTTTTTTTTTAGTACAGAACACTTGTATGGCATTCCCAGGAGTGCCTGTTCTGCTGAAAATATGAATAATGGATAGGAAAGTATGTGTGAACTACACCAGCAAGCTATCACAATTCAGGACAGGTTAGGAAGAAAATGTCTCCTCAGTTTGTCAACAAGCAAGACGGGGGAACTGTTTGCTATTGTACCAAAATTAAGGAACTGCACAAAAGTCCAAAGTCTACACACTGATGTAAAAGGAACAAAAGCATGGGAGGAAGAAGAAAACCAGCTTATTAACAATCACTGCATCTGGTTACATACTGTAATTGTCATTGTGCAGTAGCTTCTGATGGAGAGACTGGTAGAGCCAGGTTGGCCCCTGCTAAGCCAGTGAAGTATATGCCTCATCTCTTTTTCAAATGGAGCCCAGTAGAAGTTTGTTTATTATTTCTTTAAAACATTTTTTTCACCTGCTCTAATGCTGAAATGGTTTCCACAGTGACTTCTATGAGGAGTCTGAATGCATTTTGTAAATTTTTAATGAGGAACAAAGAGAAGGAGGAAGGAACAAAACTTTACATTGTTATTTAAGAACAAAGTCTTGCAGCATCTGACAGTCTAATATATTTATTATGGCATAAGCTTTGTTCATTAGTTGGCAGGATTATATTATATCATATATAAAGTCTCTGTTGCTTTTTTTATAGCTATTCATGTTATCATGTAATTATATACCTATTTCTGTTAGTGGTAAAATGCTGTGAGACATTCCAGATTCAGTGGTACAATATAAATGCAGAAATAAATGCATATATGCATACATATATAAAATTAGTGAAATGCATGACGTAGCACTGGTGACAATTCTGTGAAGCCAAAATAACAATTAACAGCCACAGCAATTAAGTGGCAGTCCAGCCACATTAACACTGATAAGTTAATTCATAGCTATAGTAAATAGAAAACAGCTATTTGTAATCAAATTTAAATGGATAGTATCAAACTTTTGATTGATTCTTCTAGTTCAACAGTTCCCTATCCTTACTGTAATCTTCCTTTGCAGTTCTTTTACTGGTGAATGACAAGTTTCAGATCAGAAGCCATGTCCCTTGGAAGTCAAAAGTTTATCCCACTTGGTTCTGGATATTGCTATTTGTGATATTAGATTTGTGTCTGTTGATTCTGTTGTACAAAAACTACTCTGTAGATGGAATTATTAGCAGGATAACATGTATATAGCTTTGGAAGATGAGCAAATGACTCTCTCCTTCACTGGAGTAGTATTAGAGTTTAAGAAATGTCTGATGTGAATCCTTAAGTTGTAACTCCCAGTGGCTGTATAAACTGCAGGCGATGGATTATGTGTTATGTCCTGGATGGATACTAGATATTAAACACATTTGGCTACTTACATTGAATCCTCTGTTATCTTGCAAGCAATAAAGTAATAATGCAGATCTCTGGTGTCCAGTTAGTACTTGGCAAAAGCTAGTGAATTTTAACTGACCTTCCTTACTGATGCTAATGCCAGTCTTTTATGCGGGTCTCTTTCTTCTCTCATCCCAACCCAGCACTCCAAGAAATAGATAGATGGACAGGCAGACACTATCTAGAATCATTTTTTTAAGGAGGTGGATCCCTCTCCCTTTGTAACAATTATGTTTTGATTTTGTGTTTGAAGACAATGTGGGAGCTAACTACTTTAAACCCAGTCTTGCTCAGTCCCTTTCCAAGTAAGGATCTTAACTGGTTGAGCCCTGACTTTTATTTAATTTAGATCCCCAACACTACATAGTAGAATGGGTAAAAATTAATCCTTAGTTAACAAATATATTCCTCCTCCTTCACTTCCTTCACAGTACACCTTGTAAGATGGCTCCTGCTGTTCTGTTTGCATGCATCATCTAAAGGAGAGTGCGCTCTTCATTAAACTGTTCTTTTACTCACTTGCCAGTTCAGTTCATTAAAGCCCTTAATTAATTTGTATGATTAATTGGTAGAGATTTTTAACAGTTTGTCAGACCTAATTTCAGTCTGCTAATATACCATTTTCTTCTGTGCTGGAGTCTATAAGTTTAATTGTTACTGATAATGGTAGCTGACTGGAACTGTATTCTTATAAGGCATTTTTGTAAAAGCAATTGCCTTATTTTTCCATCACTTACAGCTTATATTACCATAGCAACAGTGGCAATGAGTTGTTAATTAAATATCTTAATGAATTCACATATGTCGCTTTACTGGTTCCCTGCCCCCCCCTTACTTAAATTCACCCAAACAAAAATATCCATAAGGCCCTAAAGTAATATTTTCCATTTCTTTCACAACCTATGCATCTTTACTTTTTCCAAATGTGTGTGTGTGTGTGTGTGTGTCTGTGTTTGTTTTAAAGCACATTTGCACTAGTGTTTATCCAGCAGACTTTTTCACTAGAGGATGGGAAAGAAAGATATTCTTATAACTGTTCTGTTAAAAAAAGTTATGGCTTTCAACAGCTTATTTGGGTCATCCGTGGTCTTCAAAGAAGCAAAAGATTAGTTAAAGCAGGAGACCAAGAGTGGGGAGAATACCCTTAGTATTGTTGGGTCTCCATTTCTGGGAATGAATGAGGTTTTAGTTCTGGAAAAATACACCTTGGAGAGCAGAATTACATTTATCGCTATCAATGGCAATGGCACAGTCTAGTAGGGCCAAGCACAACATTCTAGGAACCACATAGCCCTTCCAAATAATGGAGACACTAATCAAAAGGGGTGGGAGTTAGGTTCTGTTTTCCCAGCTGTGAAGGTATTACAGTTGGAGTGTTATGGGAGTCTGACCAATAACAGAAGTCTTGGGAAGGGCTTGTTAAGCAGCTTGTTAAGCAGCTTGCAACTGTCCATTATTGCATTTTTTAAAATTTGGGGGGAAAAAAACATGTCGCAAACTGTAGAATTGGCTTTTTGCAGCTAAGTGAGAGTTACTTGCTTTTCCTTTGCATGATTTCATGATTTGTTGGCCACATCTCAGTTTTACTTATGAAGTGATTGCTGTTGCAAGGAGATTGATTGTCTTTTTAAATTCATTTTTGTCTTTTAGTTTATTAACTCAGTTTGTTGGCATGCTGCCATCACAGTTTATCCCCAGTAGCAACTTTCCAATTGCTTTTTGCCCTCATTGAACTCCTTTTAATTGAATAAATTGGGGATTTTTCTGCCTTAATGATAAAATGGACATCTCATTTAAGTTATGTGAAAAAAGGAAAGAATGAGAAGCACAGATCAAAAGAAAAATACATACATACATGTCACACTATTCCCTTTCAGAGTAAGTAAAGCACAGAAATAGAGTAAGAACTTACAAGGAAAAAAAATTAAAGGCATGATGTATAGTAAGAGAAAAGAAAAGGAAATACAACTCAACCTAGTTTTATATATTTATATATTTATTTATTAAATTTATATGCTGCCCATCTCCCCAGAGGGTGACTGGACAGCTCACAATTAAAATCAAGCATCAAAAACAATAAAAAATATAAATATCCAGATTAAATTAGCTTTAAAAATCATACAATATAAAAAGACTATATACCTAAAAAGACTATAAAATTCAAGATGACAGGGGGGACAGAATCAATTACCCCATAAGCCAATTCCAGCCATGCGAGCCCCCATCACATTTTAAATCATGGTAATTAATAAAATAAATAAATAAATAAGCAAGCAAGTCCTCATAGTTCTAAATCAACAGTAGTCATTATACCTTTCCCTATCTTTCTATCCTTCCTTAGTTCTACTATATCCATAGTCCATACATTGCCTTTTCTGCTTTAAGCTTCTCAACCTCTGATCGATTCCATCTTACCATGACCTTATCCGCCTTCCCCTTCCTCTTAAACCATGTAGCCTTCCTTCATAAATTTCTTTGTATAAGAGAAAACAATCTTTGATATTTCTGACGAAGCAACCTCAAGAGCTGACCTAGGCATTACCACTGATTGTTAATCACAAAAATATCAATGTCATAATCGTTAATGTATTAAAAATACTTGGTAAGATGATACAAGCAATAACAAATGTGAAAATATATAGCTAATCCTCAGTTACCAATGGCAATTGGGACCAAAGTTGCCATCTCTAAGAGACGCAGTCATAAAGCATGATGTCACATGTCCATGTCACTTAGTGACAGCTGTCCTGGCAGTCCCAGTTGCCATCATTAGCTGAGGCCCACATGGGTTGTTAAGCAAGGATCTCATGTGACTGTAGTTTCCTGACGGCTTCCCCACTGACTGCTTGTGGAAAGCCAGAAGGGAATGTCAGAAATCACATGACTGCGGCTCACTGCAACATCATAATCACAAGCTGGGTGCCGAGTACCCAGATCACAATCACGTGACCGCGGGGACAGTGCGATGGCTGATACTCTGAGGACTAATCATAAGTATCACTCATTCAGCACCATCACAATTTTGAATGGTTGCTGAACGAATCGACGTAAACCGAGGACTACTTGTACATAATCTCTGATGCAGAGAGGTTATCTGTTAATAAGAACATGTAACGATAGAAAATTTACATATTTATGACATCTTCTAATAATGAGTATTGAAAATACTATGTGGGGAGTCATAATCAGGACAATATAAAATAGGTTAACTAGCCAGCCTTCCTCTGAGGACATTGACTTCTGCCGAAGTTGGGTAATTTCTCCAATCTGATGCTCTCTAGAACTGTTGGACTACAAGTCTTATATTCCCGGCAGAGTGGCTGTGATGACAGGGAATTATGAAAGTTGCAATCTGTCATATCTGGAGAGCATCATTTTTGGAAGGGTGTTAAAAATTGTTTATTATATATTTTAATTAACTGCTGATATATTTATAACAATGGGAAAATTGAGTATAAAAAACCTGGTCACACTAGTATGGTGTGATAGTTCAGAGTTTGCTGGCATGTGTAAAGAACAAAGTAACATTTATTTATGTATTTATAAGACTTATATGGTCACCCATCTTATGTTCCATAACTCTCACCATAACAATATGAACATTAAAAAGAACTTCCAAAAACCAGCTCCTGACACTCTAAAACAACACTTCTCAATACATAAATGATCATATTTTATTTATTTATTTTATTAGTTTATATATCAAATTTATATCACCGCCCAACTCCCCCACAAGGAAAAGCCACCTTTTAAAAGCCTTCTGGATCTGGCACAGTGGGCAAATACCTTCAGGGAGAACTGATCCCACAAATAACCTGCCCTGTGCCATACAAAGGTCTTTAAAGACAATAACTAGCACCTTGAATTACACCAGGAAAGAAACTGGAAGCCAGTATACTGGTGCACCAGTGGTGTCATATGGACAAACAGGACACCTTAAACTGTGCACACTGTTGCATTCTGGACCAGTTGTAATTTCTGGATGATCTTCAAGGGCAGCCCCATGCATAGCATATTGCTGTAATCCAAATGGGAAGTGACTAAGGTGAGTGACTAGTCCAGGAATAGGTGCATTTGGCACATGAGATGGATCTGTGCAAAGGCTTCCCAGCCAAACAGCCATAAGTTCAGGGGAACCCCAGAATTGCACACCAGCTCTCTCTGGGGAGTGCTGTTCCCTCAAAAGTCAAAGTTGATGCCTTTCCAGATTTTGGGGGCGGGAGGGCTAAAAAACCAAAGCTACTCTGTCTTGCTAGGATTGAGTCAGCACCAGTCCCTCCTCAACCAGGGGCCAGAGGCAAAAATGAACTCATAGCAGCGAGGATCCTGCTTCCTCAGGATCAACTCTTCAAACTCTTCCTAGATAACTGAGCTCAGACAAGTCTTAGGCACTTCTATAGGGTCTGCACAGCTGGAATCCAACTCCAAGCAAAACCAAGTGACTCTGTCCAACAGATGCCAACGGTATTCCTCACAGTGGCCCTGTAAGGACTCCCCCAGCCCCTCCATACCAAAAAGGACCTGGTAACCTGAAACAGGGCCACCAGCCAGTTGTTTGCAGATGCAGTAAGAGTGGAGAAATGAGTCACTTCACCACTCTTATCACCACAAGATAAGCCCTAATAAATGCTTTTACCTCTGGTTGGTTGGCTTCACTCATCTTTCGCCAGCAGAGCTCTAGGTGTCACTTGTGTCATCTCATCTCCTGGATGGTGCTTCCCTTCACATCCATACTTGTTTTAATGTTGAAACAGATGGGATTTCAGTGGGTTTGTGGGTGCTTAGGATGTGTTCACAAAAACTCCCAAATATTCAAGAAACTCAAATATTTGATTTGATTTATTATTGGACCTGCTTTTGAATTATTTTTTAATAAACCATACGTAGGCTTTGATTATGGAGAATTCAGTAACCATGAATTGATTTTCTCTAACAGCAATGAGAAACGACGCAGGGAGCAAGAGAACAAATACTTAGAAGAGCTGGCAGAGCTGCTTTCAGCCAATATTGGAGAGATTGACAGCCTGAGTGTTAAACCAGACAAATGCAAGATTCTAAAAAAAACGGTTGATCAGATTCAGCAGATGAAAAGACTCGAACAAGGTAGATCTACAAAATCTTTTGTCTCTTTTGTTGTTCATTCCTTGTGTCCTTGCATTTATAATACAAGGCAATGGTATATAAACTATGTGCCGGGACCTTCTTGAGGAAGCATAGGAGGACCTGAAGAATGTTTGCAAAACTTAATTCTAAGGGAGGATAGAATTCTGTAGTGGGGTCTTCTTTCATCCACTGCTAAGGCACAATTGATCAAAATTCGAGTTTTGCATAAGATTGTCTTCCTGGTTCACACTGGATGAACAGGGATGCAAGCTCTTCGCTCTTCTACAACCACAACCTGACTTTTAAAAAGGGAATTCAGGCAAACTCCTGCTGTGTTCTGATCATAACATTCACTGTATGCAGATTTGCGAGAGAGGAGCCAGTGTTATTTTCTAAAGCTACTGCAGGGTTAATATCCCAACCCAAAGATGATTGCATACAATTGCAAGCAATAACCCTATCCCTAACCCTTATTTGGTGGTTTATAGAACAAAGTATTGGACTTACACTAAGAGTTTTTTTATCTGCGCTCAGTCGTTACCGACTCTGCAGTGACTGCTTGGACGGGTCCTTGCA